TCTTTCTCAGCCCCGACTCTGTTATGAAAGCCATTTACATAATTGTGGATAAATTGCAGAGTTTGTTCCATTTGCAAACACCGTTTAGAAAAATGGATTCTTTTATATGGCGAATCTGTCACAAGACACGCGGGGGATATGAATTATACTTGGAGTGGGGTTGGAGAAGAGCTGGAATTGAACAATAATCAAACATGACCAACCATGGAGAATTTATCCCGCTCCATCTCAATAGCAGGGGGAGTTAAGACTATGACCGCTGTATAAAGAGGCACTCCGCTAAAAGGAATTCTATTGAGAGTGCAACGCCTAGCCTGGTTACCTGACTGTCATGCTGATCCTCTAGCTTTACCAGCCTCTGGAACACCGAGTATGCAGCTAACTGACATAAAGAATACATAAACCCAACATTCCCTATTCCTGATATATGCCTGCTGTACCATGTACTTGTATGAACAAGTATCCTGTCTTTGTATTGCTTTCTTTCTGTGAAATCTGTGATGTTCCTGACAGTCCCTCTTCTTTCCTATTAAAAATGGACCACGCTAGGCAGGAGAGCAAAGCGTGGTCAGTGTTCTGTCTATGTGGAGAATGCAGCCTGCTCTCCTCTGATGATCAGGCTTGTCCTGACACCCCCCTGCCCTTACCCCCCCCCTCGCACAGCCTTTCACTAGGAAGATCAGTGTGCTGCTGGTTTTCCTTCCCCAGCTCTCTGAGCTCCTTATGCAGCGGAAAACATTTCTATTTTAAACTGAAGGGGTTGCTTTACAAGGTGAGGGCTTACATATGCTTTAACTGGTTGTAAAACCTTATATATACCCAGTGAAATGACTAGCCCCAGGTGATACACAGAGATGAAACAAATCCTCCTATATAAGTTGTACCTGTTTATCTGACCCTCTGTTCTCTACACTCTCCTATAGCACACATTTTACACAGCATTTCTCAGCTCCTGAAGGCACGAGGCAGGAATCTGATGTCACATGTTGCACAGCATAGAGCTTAGTGTAATCACAGACCTGAGTGGAGGGAATGGACACCCCCCCCTCCCATCTCTAAACAGTCTCATAGGGAAACATGCACAGCTAAGGCTGTCAATCACCAAATCTGTGCTGGAGGGGGGGGGGCCATCTTTCTGTATTGTCAGCATAACCTGTCATAAGTGACACATTAAGATAGCAGATGAATGTGAGAGCAGACAGAAATCACACTCGGTGTTTTAGATCAAGGCTAGTACACCCTGTAAAAGGATATGCTTTGTTTATTCTTCATTTCAGACATTTTCAGCCACTTTAACCTGCTGCACATAAGCTTCTGGTCAGTGACCCACAAAATAAAAAAATAAGCCAGAGGACCAGCATGACAGTTCATCAATAGCAAACTACAGTATATACATATCTATCTTATGACAGGCAAACCTGCAAGAGAAATGCAGAGGCCACCATTGCTAATCTCCTTCTGAAAAATGTTAATGCCTGGCTGCCTGTGGCCTCAATATGTGCTGCCCAAGGACCAGCATGACAGCCAAGCAACTAGCATTTTCAGAAACAGTTCATCAGTAGCAGACTATATTTTTCCCTTATGATAGGTAACCCTGTAAGGACAGAAATACAGAGGCTACTACTTCTGATCTGCTTTTATTAATGTTAATGCCTGGCTGCCTGTGGCTTCAATATTCTCTGCCCAAGGATCAGCATGACAGCAGTTTATCAATTACAAATATGGCTGTAGGTGCTTCCTGGTCTGTAGTGATATGTGAACTTATTTCAAATAATAAACAGCGATCTCAACTTAACCAACAGTCCATAGCATTACTTTAAATCAAATTATAACAATAAATCCATAAATCTTGTGCTTCTTCATTCAGAAATGATGCCATTCAACTGTGCAGTCCCATAGAGTTCTCCATGCTGCTCCTTTAATGGCTGTGCATATAGAATGCTCCCCTCCCGTGTGCCCACTCACCCACCAGAAAATGTGGACACCTAATATAAGTAAGAGTCATTAATGCTTTGTGTTACTGTTGGTTGGTCTGGGATGCCCTGGAGGAGGGGGCGAAACGCGTCAGTTGACAGCTGTTTTCATGTGTAGGCGATTTTTAGGTAACAGGTTCTCTTTTACAATGGATTTTATTATAGAAAAGACAACATCAGAGAAACAGTTATAAACAAGATCACTGACCAACAAAAATTAGACATACAAGTTTTCTGATGAATAGTATCATGAATGCACTGAATTATAAACAAGGAAACAAGCTGAGTACACAAGTGCAGTATATGAGGAGGTAAAATAAAAACATGTTAAATTGCAAAAATGGCAGGAAATTTGAAACCAACGAATTAGTAAACAAAGAACCACGATTATCACAAAGTCCACAAACAGTAGGTGACAGGTTATCTCTAATGAGACATGCAGGGTCTAAAACCCACATGGAAGAATATATATATTTGAAATGCTACAATATTGGCCATATTCAATATATATATATATATATACTGCATGTTGAAATGCATTTTTATTACAAAATATATGAAAAATATTTTTTAAATACATTTCAAATATACTGTATGTCTTTAAAAATACAAAGCTACATTTTTGGAATGCATTTACAAATATATGTAAAAATATATATTATAATTACTTTTTTATATGTTAAAAAGATCTGAAGAATATATAATATATATATTATAAAAATATTTTTCATATATTTTGTACTATATAAAAAACGCATTTCAACATGCAGTATATAGTTATATATATATTTATTGATATATATTTTGAAATATATTGAATATGGCCAAAATTGTAGCATTTCAGCATTTGTAGCATTTCAAATATAAGTCAATATATTTGGGAAGAATATTTTTAAAATATATTTCAAATATATTTTTCTTCCATATTGGAAGACCCTGCATATCTGGGCTCCACGGGATGTATTGCAATGCAGATCGCAATGCAATACATCTCTCCCCAGCTATCTCCCCAGCTATTGTAGCCAGGGAAAGTGACCCAGAAGTGACCCCGCCTCAATGCTAAGAGATATGTAGACTGGTATCAACACGGAAGGGGGGATGCATCAGTGCTTTAACCGCTTCACAACCGCCCTATAGCAGAAATACTGCTACAGGGCGGCAGGGCTGTGCAAAATCACGTATGTATATGTGATTTTGCATTTCCAGGTAGATGCATGCGTGCTACCCTACCTGCACCTCCATTGGCGGCTACAGCTGTCAATCACCGGGTCCCAGCCGGAGATTCCTATCCGGTACCCCGTGATCGCTGAGGAACACTGATGGGAGAGGTCTGTATGTCAACAATAAAGATCTCTCCCCTGTTAGCACAAACATGCTGCTTTGTATTGCTCTGCATAGCAGAGCAATACAAAGCAGCATGCTTACATAGTAAAACACACACAGCACACAGTTAACCTTTGATCGCCCCAGATGTTAACCCCTTCCTACCCAGTGTCAGTGCTTTTTATTAGCACTGATCACTGTATTGGTGTCACTGGGGATGTCAGTGTCAGTTAGGCAGTTCCCTCCCAAAGTAAGAATGCCCACCGCAGCCCCGCTATAAGTCGCTGATCGCCGCCATTACTAGTATAAAATAAATTTTAAAAAATATCCCAGTATATATACCATCATTTGTAAGTGCTATAACTTTCATGTAAACCAATTAATTTACATGTATTGGGATTTTTTTTTTAGCAAAGACATGTAGCAGAATGCATTTTGGCCTAAATTTATGATGAAATTAGATTTTTTGAAATTTTTTTTACTGGATATGTGTTATAGCAAAAAGTCAAAAATAGTGTTTTTTTTCTAAATTGTCGGTCTTTTTTTGTTTATAGCGCAAAAAAAAATACACAGGTGATAAATACCACTGAAAGAAAGCTGTATTTGTGGGGAAAAAAAGGACATCAATTTAATTTGGGTGCAGCATTGCATGACCGCACAATTGTCAGTTAAAATAATGCAGCGCTGTATCGCAAAAAATGGCCTGGACAGGAAGGGGGGTAAATCCTCAGGAGGGCAAGTGGTTTTTTTAAGTATACCTAAACTAGTTTTGGGGCAGAGTGGAGAGGCATCTATTAGTTTTTTTACTGTTGCATTCTCGTTACGGAGATTCACCCTCTCTATTTATTCTGTTTACCTCTATTATCAAAAGTGAAAGTAAAAGAAAACCCCAAATTTTGGGTTTTCCCCAGAAAAGTAATAGAGGAGAAATTTTCCAATGGAGACACTAGTTCTGGTGACCTGGGAGGCACCAAAGGATTCCCTTAATTTGCAGGGATTTTCTCTCACTTCCTGTATTAGCTATGGGACAGAAATTGAAGGTAAATATCCCCAATGAGATGGCAATAAATATACTAAGGTTCTAACCCTCCCTTACTCTATCCAAAATTTTAAAAACGTTTTGCCTACAGTTCTACTTTAAGTTTAAAATACATAACTTATTAAAATTAAATACATAAAAAAAAAGAAATTAAATAATACATATTAATAAAAAATAAATATTATAACAAAATATTAAGAAATAAACAAAAATAAAATACCGTATTTTTCACTCCATAAGACGCACTTTTTTCCCCCCCAAAAAATGGGGAAAACATCAGTGCGTCTCTATATGGAGCGGCCGGTCCGGTATTTCTGCCGCCACCATGTCAGAATACCGGGCCAGCCGATCAGCTGTTCTCTCCTGCAAGGCCTTACCTGTTCCTCGCTCCAGCGCTGCACAGTCTTCCCGCGCTAGCTTCTGTGAGAGCCGGGTGCCCACTGCGCATGCGCTGCGCTTTGTGAATGGTCCAGTGTTTTCTGGGAGACATGACAGGTCCCAGAAGGCGCCGGGCCATTCACAAAGCGCAGCGCTTCTCGCGCATGCGCAGTGGGCACCCGGCTGTCACAGAAGCCAGCGCGGGAAGAAGAGGGAAAGACAACACTGCGTAAGTGGGAGCGGGTACCTGTCAAATTCAGGTACCCGCTCCCCCTCCCTCCCCAAAGGTCAGCAGTCTCTGGTCATCCCCTGCACTGTCTGCAGTCTCTGGTCATCCCCTGTACTGTCTGCAGTCTCTGGTTATTCCCTGCACTGTCTGCAGTCTCTGGTCATCTGTACTGTGTCCCTGGTATTTTCCCTGTACTATGTCCACAGTCTCTGGTCATCTCCTGTACTGTGTCCGCAGTCCCTGATCATCTCCTGTACTGTGTCCGCAGTCTCTGGCCATCTCCTGTACTGTGTCCGCAGTCTCTGATCATCTCCTGTACTGTGTCCGCAGTCTCTGGTCATCTCCTGTACTATGTCCGCAGTCTCTGACTGTCTCCTCTAGTTTGTCTGCAGTCTCTGACCATCCCTGTACTGTGTCCGCAGTCTCTGGTCATCTCCTGTACTGTGTCCGCAGTCTCTGGTCATCTCCTGTACTGTGTCTGCAGTCTCTGGTCATCTCCTGTACTATGTCCGCAGTCTCTGGTCATCTCCTGTACTGTGTCCGCAGTCTCTGGTCATCTCCTGTAGTATGTCCGCAGTCTCTGGTCATCTCCTGTACTGTGTCCGCAGTCTCTGGTCATCTTCTGTACAGTGTCCGCAGTCTCTGGTCATCTCCTGTACTGTGTCCGGAGTCTCTGGTCATCTCCTGTACTGTGTCCGCAGTCTCTGGTCATCTCCTGTACTGTGTCCGCAGTCTCTGGTCATCTCCTGTACTGTGTCCGCAGTCTCTGGTCGTCTCCTGTACTGTGTCCGCAGTCTCTGGCCATCTCCTGTACTGTGTCCGCAGTCTCTGATCATCTCCTGTACTGTGTCCACAGTCTCTGGTCATCTCCTGTACTATGTCCGCAGTCTCTGACTGTCTCCTCTAGTTTGTCTGCAGTCTCTGACCATCCCTGTACTGTGTCCGCAGTCTCTGGTCATCTCCTGTACTGTGTCCGCAGTCTCTGGTCATCTCCTGTACTGTGTCCGCAGTCTCTGGTCATCTCCTGTACTATGTCCGCAGTCTCTGGTCATCTCCTGTACTGTGTCCGTAGTCTCTGGTCATCTCCTGTAGTATGTCCGCAGTCTCTGGTCATCTCCTGTACTGTGTCCGCAGTCTCTGGTCATCTTCTGTACAGTGTCCGCAGTCTCTGGTCATCTCCTGTACTGTGTCCGCAGTCTCTGGTCATCTCCTGTACTGTGTCCGCAGTCTCTGGTCATCTCCTGTACCGTGTCCGGAGTCTCTGGTCATCTCCTGTACTGTGTCTGCAGTCTCTGGTCATCTCCTGTACTGTGTCCGGAGTCTCTGGTCATCTCCTGTACTGTGTCCGCAGTCTCTGGTCATCTCCTGTACTGTGTCCGCAGTCTCTGGTCATCTCCTGTACTGTCCGCAGTCTCTGGTCATTCCCTGTACTATGTCTGCAGTCCATTGGTTCAGAATATTTTTTTTCTTGTTTTTCGCCTCTAAAACCTAGGTGTGTCTTATGGTCAGGTGCGTTTTATGGAGCGAAAAATACGGTACATATAAAATATTGTGTATACACTTGTCTTCAGCACTATGGAGAGCTCCATTAAACAGAATCCCTAAAAAAGCTGTCTTGATAGCTTACTGTAAAAGTGACATAGAGCAGCTGTTCACATTCATAGTGATCACACAGTTATAAATAAGGGGAATGCGGGCAAGAAATTAAAAAAAGAAATAAACACCTAATATATATTTTAAAAAGTTAATAAATAAAATAATATAAAGTTAAACTCATTCGTAGTGGTGTCACTTTTATAAATAGGCAAAATGTGGGTATGAAAATTAATATGATTAAATAAAATCATAAAATACATCAAATTAATAAATAAAATACATGTATAATGAATAATAATAAGGCAAATAAATAAAGCAAAATACATTTAACAGATAAATCATGGTCACACTTTAATATATAAAAACATGGTTTCAGCACTACGGAGAGCTCCATCCAGCAAACTTCCTAACGGGATAAAACCCACCTTGAAAGTGACACATGGCAGCTGTCCACATACATACTGGTCCTATTGTTATAAATAAGGTGAGTGTGGGCCAGAAATAAAAAAAAAAAAAAAATAAACACATAAAATACATAAAAAAAAAAAAACATTCATAAATACAATGAAATGCATTAAACTCATTCATAGTGGTTACACTATTATAAATAGGGTGAATATGGGCAAGAAATTCATAAAATTAAATAAAAACATAAAATACTAACACGAAAAGATAAATATAATGAAAAATAAATAAAATACATTAAACACATTCATTATGGTCACGCTTTTATATATAAAAACCACGGCGCATACAAATACAGCACTGAATGAAAAGCTCCAACCAGCAAACTGCCTCCTGGGGTAAAAAGCTGCATTGACAGCTTACTGTAAAATTTATTATGGCCACCACAATAAAACTTTCAGTGAATATCTACATAGTTTTCTGCCTTGTGTTAATGGGGATCATGTAGCACCCCAAACCTTGAGGTCTTAGCATGGGTTAATGTGAGGTCATGATGTCATTATTGTCTTCACCAAATCATTTCATAACATTTCTTGTTAATGGTTATCTGGACATGATACATGACTTTGTAATGTTTCTTGACTGTTCTCATTTAGCAGCCTTACTGATGTATAGGTATAAAATGGTATGTGTTTTTTTTTACTCTTGTACAAAATTAATAGATTATAGATCTAAATGTAAAAAAATACATAAGTTACTTAAAAAAATTGAATAAATAAAATAAAATACAATAAACTCATTTATAGTGGTCACACTTTTATAAATAGAGTGAATATGATATGATATGAAATGATTACAATTTAATAAATGCATAAAATACATAAAATGAAAAAGTAAAATAAATATATAATGAACAATAATAAATAAATAACATAAAATACATTAAACAAATTAATAGTGGCCACACTAGGTTGGATTGATGTAAACTGAGTTTGTTACTTATGAAGATACTTATCAAGAGCCCCCTCTTTGGAATATATATGCCTTGACTACTTTGACTACTGTCTGTATGGTGACTTTCTTACATTGGGTCTGGGTGGTTCCCCATTGGGAAGTCGGTCCTTTTATTTTAAGATTAAAGGCTGTTTACTGATTGTACCTGAATTTCCCACCTGAGAGGCAGTGGATTCACCAAGAAATGAATTAAATTAAATAAACACATAAAATAACGAAATAAAAAAATGAATGAATATTAATAAATAAATAAAATATATTAAACACATTTATAGTTGCAAGACTATTATAAATAGGGTGAATGTGGTCAAGAAATGAATAAAATAAACACATAAAATAGATGAATAAAAAAATATGAGTGAATCTTAATAAATAAATAAAATACATTAAACTCATTAATAGTGGTCAGGGTGAATGTGTGCTAGCAATGAATAAAATTACATAAAACCATAAAATAAATGAATAAAAAAATGAATGAAATATTAATAAATAAATACAATAAAATACATTGAACACATTCATAGTGGCTACACTATTATAAATAGGGTGAATGTGGGCAAGACATGAATAAAATAAAATAAACACATAAAATAGATAAATAAAAAAATGAATGAATATTAAAGTGGTAGTTAACTGGTTTCTGGTATTTTTACCTGCAGGTATGCTTATAATAAAACTTACCTGAAGGTAAAATGAATATCTCCTAAACATGAAAATTAATGAATATTAGTATATAAATAAAATACGTTAACCGCTTGCCCGCCCTATAGTAGAACTAGGCGGCAGGGGTCTGCGCAAAATCACGTTTGCATTTCTGGGTAGGGACCCTACCTGCACCACCATGGCCGGCTATGCATGTCAATCACCGGGTCCCAGACGGAGATTCCCCGCTGGAACCCAGCGATCAGCGTAAAACTGAAAAAAAAAAATAAAAAGTATCTATACCACCATTTTTAGACGCTACACACCTTTCACGTAAACCAATTAATTTACACGTATTTGGATTTTTTTTAGCAAAGACATGGAGCACAATACATTTTGGACTAAACTTTTTGAAGAAATTAGATATTTTTACAATTTTTTACTGGATATCTTTTATAGCAAAATGCCAAAAAATATTTTTTTTTTTTCAAAATTGTCGGTATGTTTTTGTTTATAGTGCAAAAATTAAAAAATGCACAGGCAATCAAATACTACCAAAGAAACTTTATTTGTGGGAAAAAAGGACATAAATTTCATTTGGGTGCAGCATTGCATGACTGCGCAATTGTCAGTTAAAGTAACGCAGTACCGTATCAGGACGGTCAGGAAGGGGGGTAAATCCTCAGGAGGGCAAGTGGTAATAAGTAAATTTGTATATACTGCGGATAAAAATTCCTCTTTAGTTCCAATGTTTTCTGGATATTACTGCAGTTTGGTGAATTGCCTGGTCAGGAAGGGGGGTAAATCCTCTGGAGGGCAAGTGGTTAAACACATTCATAGTGGCCAGACTATTACAAATTGGGTGAATGTGGGCAAGAAATGAATAAAAAAAAATAAACACATAAAATAGATAAATAAAAAAAAAAGAATATTAATAAATAAATACAGTATAAATGAATTGAACCACATCCATAGTGGCAACACGTTTATAAATAGGGTGAATGTGGATAAGAAATGCCAAATGATTGTGGTCAAATGTCAGAAGGTCAAGTTGTTATTATAGATTTACTGGGGAATTTGCCAGTGATATAAATATACCTCTTAGTTGATGGAAGAAGCAGACAAGCAAGGAATGGAGCCGGTCCCCGCGTGCTGCATGAAAGGGGTCATGGGATTTTTTTATCAGCCGTAAAATTTCACCAACTGTCACGTCATAAAAAAAAAGAAACATGACTGTAAATAAAACAACGCTCACTTCTTTGCTGACGTGGAAAGAATCTGATCGACTGTGAAAATCTGGACAGAACAATAATACCCAGGGGTGGACTGACAACTCATGGGGCCCCCGGGCAATAGGGGATCATGGGGCCCCTGTGTCCTTGCCCAAACTCAAAAAAGCCTATGAAAAAGGTACCAGGGGCATCTCATGGGGCCCCATACTGACCCCGGGCCCTCGTTCAGTGCCCGAGTTTCCAAATGGTCAGTCCGCCCCTGATAATACCTAACCAGTCTCATGCACATGTTTGGTTTGCGATTGGATCTCGTTATATAAAGGAGTAAAGTCCTGCAGAAGCCCCACAACTGCTTCACCAATCGGCCTTCCTGCAATTTACGTGGAACTGACTACCACTCAATTTGACAAATCAGATTTTATTGGGAAGAATAAACTGTGAGGTGTGTGCGTGAGCAATCACTTATATTTTAAAATATATGCCATTACAAAAATGAAAAAAAAACAAAACTTTTTTTACACTTTTTTTTAAGTTTAGGGATTTTTGGGCTTTCTGTGTTCCATGGGAAAGATTTACCTTAATTTCCTGCCCTGGAAATACAAGAGGATTTGAGAGGATATTGTCATCTTCAACAGCTGTCCTTGGAACAGGTTGACCCCATCTTGTCCTGGTG